TATATTTTAATATACAATCCAAATTGTATTATATAAATTACATAAAAATATTAAATTACCTTAAAGAATTCAAGGGACAAGGTTTCTCCCTTTACCACGGCCTTAGTTCTGAACTTTTTTTTAAAAGTAAATTTCAATTTTTTTATTTTATAATTTAATTAAAGTTCTTGACCAAAGACGCACATAATGCTTTTTTTTTTTCTTTATTAAGTGCAGATACTTTTATAAGGTGTCCACATCAATAACTCGGTGCATGTGGTCACTTGCAATAGTTATGTTTTAAACCAAAATAATAATAATCAAAATATTTATTTAATATGTGTTTTAAAATTTTTTTTAATTTAATTAAAAGATAAATATTTAACATTATAGAATTTTAAACTAAATTAAGTAAATATTAACACAATTAAATTCTTGTTAATCTAGTATATCATTAGAAGTGCGATGTATTATAAGATGAATTAAAAAATCATTGAAAGATTAATAAATGTAATTAATTAATTTTAAAAAATTAATTTTAGTTTTAAATTTTGACTATCAACTACTAATCTTAATTTGCCACTGAAATTTTGAAAAAAAGGGAAAGGAAAAAAGAGGGACATGTACCACCAAATGCCAACATGCGATGTGTTGATGCATATGAATGGTGGTTAGCGGATTCATCAGTGGGCCACTTGGAGACCCACCGTTTGAGCTAGTTTAAAGTACAAGTTACACTGGATATTGGGTTCGGGTCAAGAGGATCCGGATTGGCCATATGGAAATCTTATTTATGTATTGGTATGATATCACTAGGAGAAGAAAAACACAGAATGAGCAAGCATTTGTTGAATGAAAATGAAAGTCTAGAAACTAATGTTGAACTTATGTTTTGCATTATAGTACAAAGTAACTAATGTTGAACTTGGATTCAACTCTTTGCCATGTTTTAGTTTACTAAATCAAAAAGATCGGGTCACCTGCCTTGCAGATTGTCAACCATATTCTAGATAAATAGAGGTAGGTGAAAATTCAAATGAAATTTCTCTATCCAACTAATTAACAAAATTGAAATATAAAAAAGTCCAGACGGATTCCCCGGACCTGTATTCCATGCAACTGCAACAAGAAAGTGCCAAACAAACAGCTTCAAGTCAATCTAGATAAATAGGGGTAGGTGAAAATTCAAATGAAATTTCTCTATCCAACTAATTAACAAAATTGAAATATAAAAAAGTCCAGACAGATTCCCCGGACCTGTATTCCATGCAACTGCAACAAGAAAGTGCCAAACAAACAGCTTCAAGTCAATCTTCTACTGAGAATTTCTATTATTATGAGGAATCAAACAAGAGTAAAAAAACCCATCAATTTTCCTGCAAAATTCGTAGTCATTTCCAATTACATCAGAATCCCAGTTCATGATCTGATTAACACGGTGCGAAATACAACAGAACAAACTAAATAGCAGAATTCAATTATACCTACCTGCACTTTTCCTGCAAGCAGGATCTTCTTTTTCTGTTTAGATACTTTTGGGCTGCTTCCACCACTGTCCAACCCCTCACCTGCCCCCGACAGAGTGGACATAAAAGCTTTGGCACTGCCAGCTCCTCATCAGCGTCCTCTGCAGTCTGCACCCAAAATAACCCTAGAATTATCCGCTGACCCATTGTTTATTGAAGTAACTTTTGTGTAAGCTTTCTTATATTGGTCAAGACAATTGGAGAACAGTCTGCTAGTTGCACACATATAGGGGCAGCAGCCCTCAGGATAAAGAGGAACAAAGGAGAAGAACAGCATTATGGGGGAACTCCAGACAAACAGAGCACGTTGCATCTTTCCAATCTTTCTTCTCCTGAGCTTTGGAGCATTTCCCCTTCTTGTGACCTTAACAGCTTCTTTGATGCAAGAGGATAATGGACAAGGATTTGACCTCAGACATTGTGAATTAGACTTCTACAACTTGCCAATTTTGGCCATTTCCAAACCAAACCTAAACCAAGAGGTGGCAAAGAGGCAACATAAATCGAATAAGAACAACCAAATAAAATTCAGTAAACAGAGAGAGGTCAGAAAATAAAGACATTATTAAAGAAGAAGCATTAACACTATACTATGAACAAGCCAGAAGAGTGTATTCTACTATAAGCGAGAAGTGCGTACAGGGGGGATGGTAACCCAGAACCTTGGAAATTAAAAAGATACAGACTACAGAACATTGGGATAGAATTGATAAGTTCTAAACAAAGGAAATCACGTGCCGCAACCAAAGAAACTTGGTTCAGTTAGCTTCGTGTTCTCTGATAATCACCAAATGATTTGCCCAGTAAAGATCAAAAAGGTTCCAAACCTAAGTCCATGCTTTCAATAACAAAGCTAAGAACTTCACTGCCAAATTACTTACCTGCTCATACTCAACACCCATTTTTTTTTAAAAAAAAGTATAATGCTCTGGAAAATAAACAATTGGACAATAAGTAAAGATAAAACCCACCGCCCAAAATAAAAATAAAAACAATTCAGCTTCAGCAACCAATTAACATCCAGTGAAAGAAATAAATGGGATTCAAATCAAATCTATCGAAGCTGTAGAGTCTCCCCTCAGCAGCATTAAGAGCCCACCAAATGAAACATAAACCTCTCAGAAAACAAAACAAAAATGTAATTTAGGGATCAAGCACTGAATTACAAAGCAACTGAAGTCCTCGCATAGTAGATTACAAAGCAACTGAAGTCCTCGCATAGTAGATTGTTAGATCTAGTCATGCAAAAAAATGGTAGCAAAAGGTGAATATCAAACCACAGAGTAACAATACCAATACCAATACCAAGACAAATTTGTCAAACATGTAGATAAATACATATGCTTTAAGCAATTTTCCCGAGCTTTCCTCTGAGATTTTGTATAGCTTCCCATGCATGATATATTCATACTTGTCTGCAAGAGACTTTCTACCACCCTGGAATATAGGAAGAATTTCTCAGCTAGGCAATGACTCTTTTGAGTTTTATCTATTTCATTCTGTTCTGTATAATTATTTGACAATCATTTATCCTACCTTATACCATTAAAAAAAAAAAAAAAAAAAAAACCCTAATAACAGTGATGTAAAATGCAGGAACAGTGATATAAATGAAAGTACCTCTCTTTCAAGTA